TGCTGCTGCTGCTGCAGTACACAGGTCCTTGTCTGCCAATGATGAGTTTCCACAGTATGGATTCGCGAATGAAGGTGTTTATTTTTTTGTTTTATTTATTTTTTAATTTATTTAATATAATTAATTATTTATTTATTTTTATATTTATGATTGAATTGTGTTTATCATCTGCAGCAACTGATGGAGACGCACTGCCTGCTGTCCTTCCCCTGCAGCGAGAGCTGCCCCGCCGACTATAGCCCCCCCTGGTAGGCGTTGCTGCTGCAGCTAAACCCTAAACCCTAAACCCTAAACCCTAAACCCTAAACTTGAATCTATACGGAAACCGCAGCCCCCAGGGATGGCTCGCCCTCTCCGCTGACAGCAGCTGCATATCTCCAGGTGAGTATACAGCCAGAAGAAGAAACAAAACAAGAAAAAAAAATAAATAAATTGCTGCTGCTGCTGCTGCTGTTGCTGCTGTTGTTGCTGCTGCAGATCAATACAGAGGCACCTGCCAGGGCAGACATCTACTCGCTGGTAAGTCTGACCCCCCTATAAAAAGATAAATAAAAAAAAATAAATAAATAAAGCTAAAAGAGATGTAAATATAACTAAAAAACAACAAAGTAATATATATCAGTGAAGCGATAATAAAATAAAATATATAATAAAAAAAATAATAAAGAGAAAACAAAACGTAATTAAAAAGAAAAAGAAAATTAACATTAATTGGAGTTATAAAGAAAACGAAAATAAAATAATAATATATTTCCTTTCAGGCAAATCAAAAGAAGAGAAACAAAAGTAAAAAAGAAGAAATAACACAACGCCTTGGGGGCCCCCACAATTTGGGGGCCCCCACAACTGACAAGCTAACAACAACAATAATATTAAATAATAATATTAATATTAATATTTATAATTATAATATTAATATTAATATTAATATTTATAATTATAATATTAAACACAAAAGCAGCAAAGAAACAAAAAAGAAAAAAACAGCCATCACCACCAACAAACCCCAAACAAAAACACCACCACCACTAATACTAACAACAACAACAATAAATAAATAAATAAATAAATAAATAAATTAAATAAATAAATAAATAATAAGAAGAGTAATGGTGCCTATACACCTCAGGTTTGCTGCTCGCTGCAGCGCCCCCTGGCGCTGTCTCTCTTCTCCCCCCCCCAAACAGAGAAAGTTGTTTTCTATGGCAGCAAGAAAGAAGAATAAAACAACAAGTAAGAGATAAATAATTTAAAACAATGATAATATATATACATAAACAAAATAAAATGCATGCATGCATGCTGCTGCTGCTGCAGCTGCTGCTGCTGCTGCTGCTGCTGCTGCAGCAGCAGGGAGAAACAGCTTCCTCGTTCGTGCTGGAGATGGATACGTCATTAGGCCGACAAGATAAAGAGAGGGGGGCTTGAGAGGCAGCAGCAAAAGCAGCAGGCAGCAGCAGCTTTCTCTTTCTTTTTCTTTTTTATTTTATTCTTATATTACTCCTTTCTGCTCCTCTTTCTTTTCTTTTTTACTTTCATTTTTTATATTTCTTCTCTCTTTATGCTCCTTGGCTCGCCATAATGGCGGCGCGAATCTGCACGGAGTAGCAGCAACCGCAGCAGACAGAAAAAAACAAATAAACACCAAAAAGAAAAAAAACAAATAAACAGAAAAAAGAAAAAAACTAAACACAGCAAGTACTTCCACCCGTACCATACATGCATGCATGCATGCATGCATGCATGCATGCACCAATGCATGCATGCATGCGTATGTGCATGCATGCAGGGCTTTACACCCCTCCACTCTGGTCTTTCAAGACCAGACCTGAGACATAAAGCCGGAGCAGCAGCAGCAGCAGCTGCTGCTGCTGCTGCCGCTGCTGCTGCTGCTGCTGCTGCTGCTGCTGCAGCTGGTGTTTTGTTGATCTCACTTGTTTGAATCTTTCTACGCATTCTTTTCTGGTTTTCCCTGGCACGTCTTCGGCTATGGCTGACCACCGCTCCAGCGGAGGCATAGAAGAAGGGTATTTCGCCAGAGCAGCCTCGAGGGCCTGCAAAAGTAAAATAAATTAAATAAATAAAAATAAATAAATAAATAAATAAATAATATACACATGCACTATACACCCCTTTATATATGCAT